GGGCAAACCATTGGAACCATCCATCAAAGTGAGGTATCCAATCAGCCCTGACTAAAAATCACTCAGTGCAGCTTTACTTTGAATTGTTATTCACACTTGACTTTTCAAAAAAACATTTTCATAGCTTCAGAGTTACAATTTTTTAATCCATGGAAGCAGCTGTTTTATGACTAAGCAGCAAAAACCTGAGCAATAAAAAAATAAAAAGACACAAACACAAGAATCCACAGCTGGTGGTTATTTTTTACTTGAAGACTCTCTGAAAAAAACAAAATTATCGTTACATTATTGTCATGAATTCTTTCTGGAATGAAACAGGCCTGGTCCCGGTGATATGGAAAGGGCAGTCTGGTTTTTACAAAATTGATATTCAGGAAACATCAAAACACACAAAGGGCAGGCTCTTACACTCAGGTTACACCACTCAGCCTCAGTAAACATCTTTGGAATAGAGATTTTTTTTAAAACAACAACAACAAAAAAATCAATCAAGGAACTTAAACATTCACAGGACAAAACCATAATATTGTGAAAAATGTGAAGGGTGAGATGAGCAGAGAAAATCCAAGCAGGAGCTGCACAGCTGGGAACAGTCACCCCCACCAGGCAGGTTTGGGGTTTGGTTCTGTGCATAAAGCAGAGAAAAGAAAATAAATTCCTGCTGCAAATTCTGGTTCAAGCAGGAGCCCACAAGCCCAGCACAACAAAGGAAAGGTTGGGTGTTCTTGAAAATGAAAAGTTAGCAGGGTGTCCTCTCTATATTGCACCAAGTTTGGTTGTAAGTGAAAAATTAAAAACTTCTGCACTTAGAAAAGCTACATTTAAATAGATCCCAAGTGGAGGGAGCAGAGTTCAGCTCTTAAAACAACTCAACTCTTTTTCCTACATTTCTGTCTCCTCCCAAACTGCAAAACCACCACTGATCCAAGGCAGTGCTGCTCCTTCTCCTCAGTATTTATTTATTTATTTATTGCTTTATTTAGGAGTGACAAAGGCTCAGAGATGGGAACTTTTAGAGAATTTAAGGCAACTCCACAAAACCAACACCTTAAGGGCAATTGTGGCACACAGTGGTTTTCATACCAACACCAGGAGAGGTTTTAGCTTTAAAAAAAGACAGATTTTAGTCAAAAAAAACCCCTTTTAAATATCAGTTTATCTTTCTAACACACAGCACTGAAGTCAAGTCATCCCAGAGCACCAATGTAGAGAAAAGAAACAAAAAAAGGGGGAAGAAGTCAGATGAACAATTAAAAAAACTAAATAACTACAAATAAAAACACTAAAAAACCTAAATAACTACAAATAAAAGCTAAAAACCCATAAAGCTAAACAAACCAAAAAAAATCAGATACAGGCTTGTCAAAAAAAAATCTAAATGTGCTCAGTATTAGGCTCATCCTTCCCTTGCAAAAACTTTGGAATTGAATCAAAAGAATATGGAAAACTCTAAAACACTGGTCCAATGGGCATGTGCATTCTTTTTATTTCTATACAGAGTGAAAACAAACACCATACAGACAAAAGTAAACTAATTTTTTTTTTAAGAAAAAAAATCAGGTTTAATGTTCCAAAATGATTTTGTGAAAACAGGAAAAAAAAAAAAAAAAAAAAAAGAAATAGAAAGGAGTTATTTTAAACTACAGCCTGCATGGATTTGCAGCAAGATCTGAGTAAGAAATGATGGATTAAAAACAAGCAGAGCCCTGCTGGCATCCAGGAGGAGGAATGGAGAGGATTTGCACAGAGAAACCTGTGTGTAAACTATTGCCACGTGGGGTCACAGGGACAGACAACACCTCAAGGTGCTGCCTGTCCCTTGCTCCTAGAGAAAATCTGCTTTGCCAAGAAGCTCAGAGAGTTTTCTACAGCTTTTTCTGGAAGAGATGGATGCAAGCAGCAGGTTTCTGGTCAGCCAGAGGATCCCACTGCAGGAGTGCTTGTGCTAAGTTGCATTTTGTAAGAAAAAAGGTTGGGGGGGTTTGTAGCACTCGTTGTCATAGCAAAAAGCAATTTTTGTCACATAAAAAGCCTCAACTAAAGGAATTTTAGCTCCATAACTAAAGGAACTTTTTCCCTCAGCATTCCTTCAGGGCACAGCTGGAGAGGTTTATACTGACAAGCAGTATAAGAGCAGGGAACCCTTTTGGGAGGTTTAAGCAACAACCAGGTGAGTGCATTTTCCTTGCTAATGCTCCCTAATGCAGGAATGACTCTGGTTTCCATTCTCTTCCAAATAATCCCTAGGGAACAAACCATCCCAGAAGCCACAGCAATTACTCCTTGGCACTTCTCTGCACACAGGCAGGAGAAGTTCCAGCCATTTGCAACAGCAACTTTTCCTTTGGGATACCTGATGCTTTTTTTTTTTATTTTTTATTATTATTATTATTTCCTCCGAATTCATGAAATGCAGCAACATTACCAAGCCAGGAGTCATTTGTTCTGTTCAAGCTGGAGGATTTGTCATTGCTCTCCCTTTGAGTGGCTGACTCAGACACCAATGGTGGTGCAAGGGCAGCTATGATTTCTGCAGAGGAGCAGCCCTGGGTGTGGGGCGCTGCCGGACACCGCTCGGGGATGAGTCTCTCTTGCTCCCCTCCTTCCCCTCTGTCTCCTCATCTGAGACATCTCCCTCATCTCCTCCTTGCTCTTCATACCTGCTCTTCAGCACATGAGCTGACTCTGGACCTTGTTTCCCTCGAGGAGAAAGGAAAAACACACAATAAATGCCATTCCCAAGTCAAATCCATTTTTTAACACCATGGGCGACACTGAGAGCTCCACTCGATTTCCTCTCCCTGCCCATGTGGAATTTCATGTCTTGCAGGTATGAAAATGCTCTCAAAATTTTTTTCATCCCTAAAACCAGTTTTAAAAATACCCCAGCTTTACTAAAATTTACTAATTTTTTAATCCCAACCCACTATAAACCCTAAGGGTAAGGCATCAACGCCAAATGCAAAGTTCTACACTCCACTCCGGGTGTCACATCCTGCAGAACACCAGCATTTCTTTAATATTTTCTAGAAATAAAATTTACCAAACAGCTTCAGTGAATCAGAAGTTTGCTGTGGGCTTACTTGGCTGAGGCTGGAGCTGTGGTGCTCTGTGCTTTTTGGAGGGACAGATGCAGTCTGCCAGGAACACCATCAGCTGAAACCAAAGAAAGCCAAGGTGAAATCCCAAACCTTCTGCACACTGCCATCGTTTAGGATGGGAAATTTCCAGATCAAGTCTAAGCATTTACCCTCAAGCTGGATCCCATCCAGCTTCCCCTTGGGTTATGGGGGCTCCATCCTGTCCCCATGCCTGTGTTCCAGCTCAGGGTACCCCAAAACCCACCCCAAAACTGAGGTGGAGGCAGCACCAGTGGCACCAAGTCACCACCAGCCCCAAGGGCAGCACTTACAAGTCCCAGGACCATTCCTAAAAACAGAGTTGCCAATCCAAAAACAGCATAGGAGCCCCAGACTGGTATTCCAAGATTTTCTGTTAAATAGCCATGGCCATGCTGGAATAAAAGAGAATCATTTCAGGAAGAGCTGGATTTCAAATTGAGGAGGAAATGAAGTGGGGATGTGAGCAAATACCCTGATCCACATGGACAGCTTGAACAAGGCTGACATGCTGCTCATCCTGAAACAAAGCAGAGAAAATGAACTGAGAACACTTAAAATCTAAAAAAGAGAACACTTTAAAATCTTTAAAACACTGAGAACACCTTAAAATCTTAAAAAGAGAACACTGAGAACAATTTAAAATCTTTAAAACACAAATTTTCCCCCAGCTCCTGTAAGAATGTCACCTTCCCTTTCCTGCCTGGATAATTCCTTTGCCTGCCCCTCTGCCATAATTTCAGCCTCAAACTTGTGTGAAATAACCTCAGGTCGTACATGGACAGCTGTAAATTCCCAGATTTCTTTAACTTGGATCTGCTGAATCCAAGTTAAAGTTAATCCAAGTGAATTTCAAGTCCCTTTTCTATTCTGTCTGGATCAATGCTCTGAGAGAAGCCAACTGGAACTCCAGTGATATTAAGAAAGAAGCACCAATAGGTTTTATTAAAACAAAAAAAAATTAGCTATTAAAAGAAAATCAGGTTTTAAGAGCTGAGAGAGCCTCAGACACTTAAGTTTGGTGTCTGAGTACATAATAATAAGAAAACTTGTTAATGCTGAGTTAATACCCAGTTTCACACATTAAAAAACATGATAGTTTGTAAGAGAAACTCCCTGACAGCCAGGAATTCCTTTCATACATCACACCCAAATTTGTTTTGACAGTTTGAACCCATTCCCCTTTTTCCTGTCAGTTTCTGATGGAGAATCCCTCTTTTTTGGGATTTCCTTGGGATTTCCTCCAGACAGTGGAAGAATTTTCCCAGGATTTAGCTGGGCAAAACCATCTCAGTGCACAGAAACCAAGGGTCAGCAAGGTCCTACAAGAGTTCAGGAAACTTCTTCAAGCTTTAAAGGAAACCTTGCTGGGGACATCTCTGTTATGGTGACACTGCTCAGGTCACTGCTTTGGTGACAATGCTCAGGTCACCCTGCTATGGTGACACTGCTCAGGTCACCTCTGTTATGGTGACAATGTTCAGGTCACTCCTGCTATGGTGACAGTGCTCAGGTCACTGCTATGGTGACACTGCTCAGGTCACCCTGCTATGGTGACAATGCTCAGGTCACTGCTATGGTGACAATGCTCAGGTCACCCTGCTATGGTGACAATGCTCAGGTCACTGCTATGGTGACAATGCTCAGGTCACTGCTATGGTGACACTGCTCAGGTCACCTCTGTTATGGTGACAATGCTCAGGTCACCCCTGGTATGGTGACACTGCTCAGGTCACTGCTATGGTGACAGTGCTCAGGTCACCCTGCTATGGTGACACTGCTCAGGTCACTGCTATGGTGACACTGCTCAGGTCACTGCTATGGTGACACTGCTCAGGTCACCCCTGCTATGGTGACAATGCTCAGGTCACCCCTGGTATGGTGACAGTGCTCAGGTCACCTCTGTTATGGTGACAGTGCTCAGGTCACTGCTATGGTGACAGTGCTCAGGTCACTGCTTTGGTGACAATGCTCAGGTCACTGCTATGGTGACAATGCTCAGGTCACCCCTGGTATGGTGACACTGCTCAGGACACCCCTGCTATGGTGACAATGCTCAGGTCACCCTGCTATGGTGACAGTGCTCAGGTCACCCTGCTGTGGTGACAATGCTCAGGTCACTGCTATGGTGACAATGCTCAGGTCACCCCTGCTATGGTGACACTGCTCAGGACACCCCTGCTATGGTGACAATGCTCAGGTCACCCTGCTATGGTGACACTGCTCAGGTCACCCCTGTTAAGGTGACAGTGCTCAGGTCACCCTGCTATGGTGACACTGCTGAGGTCACTGCTATGGTGACAATGCTCAGGTCACTCCTGCTATGGTGACACTGCTCAGGTCACCCCTGTTATGGTGACAACCCTGCCACAGCTGAGGCAGAATTGGGACACCCACCCAGACATTCCCACAGCTCCTGCCCACACAGAGCTGGGAGCAGGGAGCAGGACACAGCTCAGCACATCTGATAATAAATTCCTACAAAAAACAACCCAAAACTTACAGGAAAGAGGAAGGCCCGAACCAGGAGGACACTGGTTCAATGGATTTCCACTCCTTATCATTGATGAAGTTAATGAAGGCAGCTTTATTCCTGGCTCCCTGGTATCTCCTGAACTCTCCATCTTTGCAGCTGTAAAACAACACCACCACCACCAAAATCCTTTATTTGATATGATCCAAGCACCAAGTGCAGCATCCAACAAACCCCCTCCCATCTCCTTGTCTATTTTTTACACATTCACTTTTTCAGTGTTAATTCTTTTTAGCTGATATTGCCCCTAAAAAATATTTTCCAAACACCTGGACTAACTCCAAGTTATTTCCAGAACACCTTGGCTAGCTTTAGGCTGTGATTCCATAAAAAAAAAAAATAATAAAGATAATGATCTTCCTAAAGCCCTTGCCACACACCTGCACTGAAGATCAACCTACAGAGAAAGGATTGCAAAACAGAAACACCCATGAAAAGGCAGAATAAATAAGGCCTGAAGGGAAAGGAAAAGAAATCATCTGGCAGCACAAGGTCACAGTGGGTGAGAAGGTGAATGTGCCAGTGAAAAGCAGCTCCTATTCTTAAAGAGCATAATAAATCTCATTTATTTGCCCCCCAAAACAGAGGAAAAAATGCCCACTGTCACCCCAAAAACCCCTGTAGCTCTGCATACTTACTGATAGATGGTAGGGAGGGCTGTGATGATAAATCGTCCACTTAATCCTGTAAGAAAAGTTGTTTTGAGAGTATTTTGAGTATTTTTATGGAAAAAAAAGAGGCAAGGAATGCTGAAACACCCCAAAATACAACAGCAGGCCTAGGTATCAATATTTCCATGCAATCTACCACAACTTTGTGCATGTCAAAGCAGCACACATTTAAAAAACGATCCGTGAACAAAGAGCAAAATGGGGAAAATGAGATATCCAGGGATAACAGCTCCATTGGGCTCTTTTGGCTGCAGCTCTTCAGAGGGAGAGGCTCTCCTTTGCAAACAGGATCTGCAGCCTCCAGAAACCCTGAGGAAAATAACCCACATGAGGCAAGCTTCAAAAGTAAAGCTGCTCTGGAGAAAGAGATCAGCATGGGGAAGGGCAGGCTTACAAATCCCACAGGGACAGGAGAGCTCCAGGAGAGGTTCGCGAGAGTTTCACGAGATTTTCAGGAAGTTTCAGGACAGGGAGAGCAGATTGTTTGCACTTCCTTCTACCAGCCAAAGGAGGGACTGGAATAGCAAGGCTGAAACTTTGTTTTTTGCTTTAAAAGTACGGCCAAAAATCTCCTTGAAATCGTGCTCTGGAGAAAACCTCTCATTCTTTTTACGCATTATAGTCTATGCATTTTATTTATTCTGTTCATTCGATTATATTTATTTGATCTACTATCTGACAGTCTCGTTCCTGTGTGAAAGCTGGCCCAGGGTGCCCAGAGCAGCTGTCCCTGGATCCCTGAAGTGCCCCAGGCCAGGCTGGACAGGGTTTGGTTTGGTGGAAGGTGCGGTAGGGTTGGAATGAGATGATCTTCAAGGTCCTCCCAAGCAAAACATTTTCTGGTTCCCATTAAGCAAGATCAGGGCGTTGAGTCACGCAGCTAGAGATGAGTAAAACACTTTTATTACCCCTGTTAATTCTGCCCGCCTCCCACAAGCACACATGGGAGATGAGCACCCCCAAACCCCTCAGCCCCCCAGATCCCGGCGGGGTTCGGGAGCTCTGCCCAGCCCCTCTCACCCGGCTGCTCGGTCACATCCACTTTGGCCACGTTCACGCCCAGGTCCTCTCCCCA